TAGCTATTTGTATTTTTCAGTAAATTGTTTGGTGTTCGACGATATCATTACACTATCATTGTAATAAATAATTTTCACACTATTTTTGTCTTCCTTATAATAGGATGTTAGAAGATCGACTTGTTTTTAATGTAATTTAGATATTTGGTTATTAAATACTTTAGTTTTCATTTTTTTTAACAGATAATTCTCAGATACATTAATGTTCATTTACAGCTCAGATAAATTAAGGTTCATTAAGGTTCACAAGTTAAGGAGACTGTTGTTCTCTGCTTGGAATTCTTATTACAGAATCGATTTCTATTTTATTTTCGCCTTGAATTTAAGAGTAATTTTTAAGATTAGCCGGGAGTTGTGCAAATAATTTTACATTATATAGGTTGAAATGTTTATTTTTATTACAATTCTCAAGATCTGATAATTTTCACGATGTCCAAAGTTATGGTGCAAAGGGTTAAGGATCCCCCTTCACTTGTTGAAAAGCACTTATCAATTTAGCTAGTATGTATTTATACTAAAAAAAATACCTAATTTCAAATGAGATATTAGATTAACTGTAAATTTCATATTCCAATATAAATGATTAGTACCGATATAAAATTATTCAAGTTTGATTCCTAAGTGTTATTTTACATGGGTTAAATTTAATTTGGTCTGCATAAAAGTATTAATGTACCATTTATGGGATATTATTTACACGTAAATAATTTAATGTTATATTACTGTTTCATTTTTAATTTCCATTAAAATATTGAAATTAATTTTCAAAATTGATTTCCATTATAATGATACTCTCTAACGCATTTATTTTAATACTTAACATTCATTATGAAAAATAAGTAAAAAAAATAAAAAAAAACATATTGTTAATATAAATAATAGAGGGTAAGTTAGATAAGTTAAAATGGGGTGATCTCACTCTGTAAGGCTGTGTCGACAATAAAGCTTTCAAAAGAAGCCCGTAGATTGTATTACTAGAGTTAAGAAATAAATAAATTAAATTAACTTAAGTAACATACATTGTAAAGAAATTTAATTGTGATATTATTAAGTTATGTGGTTATGAAACGTATTGGCATTTTTTAATAAACTTATATTGGTTTAGTTAATATATGAGTTATTATCTAACTGTATTTAACAGTGGTAGAGCCGGCTTTAACATTTTCCCACGAAGAGTCGGCTCGCTCAGTGAAATACCACGACCACACAGAAGACAGGCGTAAAGTGAAAGCAATTCTGCATTTCGTCTGATGAGTGTGGTGCTGGAAGCCTCAGATTACTCCCTTTTTATTTTCACCCTTTTCTTAAAAGGAAAGGATGGGAAGGGAAAGTGAAATCGACGGTAGGGAAGACGCATTGGAAGGGAAAATATTCTGTTTATGTGCGTCTCCTCCTTCGTCGATAAGGATAGGTCTGCAATTGCGGATATCTCTAAGCAGCGGTCGCTTCGCCATTTTGGTGAATTCAGGTGGCCGCTTGCTCGTTTGCTACTTTATGAAATAAAAAAAGTTTTTTTTAAATTAATAAACCTGGCTGGTTTTAATTATTTTTTTAATGATTGTAGGCGAGAAATATAACATAATTAGAGTTAAATTAGTATATTATTAATGAGTCATACGAAACCTGCGACATTATAATATTGAAAACAATTATTTGTTATTCTGTAAAAATGTTTTTATTGTAATATCGTTTCAAAAAGGTTAAATTATGTTTTCTATTGCTTATTTATATTATTATAAATTACAAAATGAAATGTAGATACATTTTTCAGGAATAATAACCTATTTTCAAAATGTTGTTTAAACAATTTCTTCAAAATAACAAGCATAACATATGTTTTTATAACATATGTTTTTATAGATAATCTAAAATAAGTTTGAATTCGATTTTTTATTAATATTTTTTTAAGACATTAAAATCGGTTTGAATTTTATCAAAATAATAATAAGTGGTTAGTTAATACATACGGATAGTTGTATTTAAGCCGTAAGTATTCTTGCAAGGAGAACTGATTTGTCAATTACTGATTAGAGTCTTGCTTAGGGATTTTCTTTTGAAGTCCTATTTCAATGCTGTAAATAATTTGTATCGCTTAAACGAGTTCTGTTGATGATACCTTAACATTTTTTGAAAATAGAGTCCTGTCACTTACTTAATAATGAGTTCGTAAAACATTAATAAAATAATTAACTTATTAAAACTTTCCTTAGACTATACTATGTAATTTATAACACGGGTAAACTCACATGGCAACTTCGGTGTAGGCACCGACCACCCTAAAGAAGGACCCCCGACGGGTCTGAAACTGGTCAGTGCCTACACCGAAGGTTGCCGTGTGAGTTTACCCGTGTTATAAATTACTTAGTTCATTTTTTATTTTACTTTTTTTGTATTTTTTAAAAGGACAATAATATTTAACAATAGATTTTAATTTAGTTTGCAATAAGTAGAATAGATGAAACAGTATTCTTAGTTAGTCTTAGTTGTACTGTTTGTTTTGATTTTTTTACTAAAGTTTCGATTTGGCCTATAAAATAGCTCAATTTAGAATGTCAAACATTTGTATGTGTATTTTCTTATATTTTGTATAATATAAAACGTAACAATGACAATAAAATATAATTTGTAATCGTAAGATTATAATTCAATGTAATTTGTAAATATGTAAATGATTTTAAAATACTCTAATTAATAAATTAATATCTATTTTTGTCATATGGTTATAATCACATATTCAAGAATGTTTTTCTGTCTTCCGATGTCACTGTTTTTAAACACAAAAATATTCGATAAACCTTTGCTCTACTATTTTTATTTTTCTGCGTTTGTAAGATCAGATCATCAATATTTTTGCATTTCTTAAAAAGTAAAACTGTTGATTGTTACATTTTTAATACATTAACAACCATAGATCAAAAAAAAAATATAAATTTAAATGTAAAAATCTTTACAAAAAGACAGAAAAAGTTGTAATGATTAAATTAATTACCATTATACTTTTTTTCAACCAGTTTTACATTAAAACTATCGTCACTAATAAAAAAAATACAATTTAGTAATATATTTAAGTATTTATTAGTAAGTATTATACCGTATTTGAACATTTAATAAGATTCCGATTAAGCAATAGTTTAAATAATAAACAAACAATATCTCAAATATGCGTTTAAATATCGTAGATACGCAAGACAAATAAAGCAAAAGGGAATGTGCTAAACACATAATTTATTACTTTATTTAATTTATTATACTAGTTAATATATTTTTTATGTTAAGTGCCATAAATTTATTTATGTAAATAGTTTCATATGTAAAACAAACTAGCGGTGTGTTTTAAATTTCAATATAATTTTAACGTAACGTAAAACTTAGTTCTTAATGTTTTAATTTTCGTTGTTTTGCTTGTAATTATTACATTATTCTAGTTTTATAGAAAATTAACATGATATAATATGTATGGTGTATATTCCATGTACAAAACAAAGTTCAAATGAAAAGGGATAAATCGCATGTAACAAGAAGGACGTTAGTTATGAATGTGGAGGTACACCGGTATAGGTAGACCTAGAAAGAGATGGATGGATTGCGTGAAAGGTGACATTATCAAGAAGGGAGTGATGTCTGAGATGACGGATGATAGAGTTATTTGGAGGACGAAAGCCCAAAGCGCCGACCCCAAGGGAGTAGGATAAAGCAGGGGAGATGATGATGATGAAATGAAAACGTTTTTTTTTTCATTATAGATTCTTGTTTGTAAAATCCATTTTAATTTGTAAAATAAATGTAATGATAACATTATATTCCCTAATATATGTTAGAAATTTAAAATGTGTTTTATTCGATACCTTTCCTTAGATACGTCTCATTTTTTAAATGTTACCACCAAAATTGCCCTCAAGGCTATTTAAAAAGTGTACAATCTTCAGATTCTTTAAATCGTATGTATTGGAATAACTTAAAAACTACTGGACCGATTTCAAAAATTCACCATTAAAAAGCTGCGTTATCCCTCAGTAACATAGGTTATGTTTTTACATTTTTTTTCTAAACTTGTGAGTAAGTTCTAGTCTATACTAATATTATAAAGAGGAAAACTTTGTTTGTTTGATTGTAATAAATTAACACACAAATTACTGGGTCGAATTCAAAAATTATTTCACCATTAAAACCTAAGTTGTCAGTGAGTAACAAAGGCTATGTTTTATATTATAGTTTTATGTGGACGGAGTTGCGGGCGAAAGCTAGATATTCATAAATTTTATCAAGTTAAGCACCATTTGGGTCTTTTGACGTGTATCGCTCTGATTAATTTATTTAGTAAAAATAAAACAACAGAGATTAGAAATAAATATTTTATATTCCTTACACCAATAATTACAAACTCGTATCAAAATGGTAACCTTAAGATCCACTTATTAATGCAAAAAGGCAAGAACAAATAGCCCTTTCGTGGCCATTTACAACATTTAAATATTACGAAAATTGCATAAACTTTTTTAGGTTAATTATATTAAGACAACAGTTAGCTTGCCCTACTTCGAGTTAAGCCATTAAAATTTTGATGGTATATAACTAGCTAGTTAACGAATCATTAAAACGTGGAAGTATTGTCAGTTTATGACTTTCAACATTCAACTTAATGTATGCGGCCAGGACTGTTGACAAATACGCAAACAAAACATGAACGTTATAATTCGAAGCATCATTTTTTAAACTTTAATATTAAAACAATTAAGTAATTTTATGAAATAGAAATCTAAACAAGACATTTAAAGTAAGATTATTTTAAATTTACTATGTATTTACGAGTACTTTTTGATCTCACAAGCCATTTTAAATCAAATGTAAAACTCTACATTCTTCATTTATTTGATAAATTGTTCTCAAATTAAAATAAATTTAAAATCACCGAAAGCATAATTAAATAGTCCAAATGGATTTGGGTTTAAAAACAAAATCCATATTGATCAACTAACTAAAAGAATTTATATACAGACAGACAAGAATATGACACTATGGTTAAGAGTGGGCGCACTCCTTTGGCTAAACTATCGCAAAACAGTTGTGCGATTGTCGCTTGTTTCGCTGTCCATTCAACTGTTTAGTTGCACAACTAAAAATCGAGTAGTATGCGCATCTCCAAGCTCATAGGAATCAAAGAGCGTCTAAAAATTTGTGCGGTAGCTTAGTCCAAGGATGCGCGCGCTCTAATTAGTAACTATTGTAGTCGTTGGCATCAGTTTCTTTATCCTAAATTAGTTAAGCATTAATTAATTTCACACTTAAATTACAATCAACTATACGGAGTGATAGATCGCAACCGTCTTGATTTACCAGGGAACCCTCTTGCGTAAGGTGGTTTTGCGTTCGTCGTCACATAATACACGCCTCGAGCTCTGTAAAGTAAATAATTACGTTTTAAGCATAAATACACTCATTAAATGCTCTGATAAAAATCATAGAGATAAACACAAAAAATATTCAAGAGCTATTAAATTACTGTCGGCAGAAATTTGTTCAACAGCGCCATCTTGTGTTTATCCTATAAACTAGTACGACGTAGGGTTTTTAAAATAGAAATGTCAAATATAGATGGCGTTGTTGATGTCAAAAAATAGAATGAGCAAAATGTTACTAACTAAAACCACTGATTTATCAATTAATTACCTGTGAGTAACATGCTCTCCCATGCGTACATATTCAGTATCCTTGGGCTCACACCAACCAATGAGATATGAGAACAGATTAGGACAAGGACCAGCCCAGAAACCGGTAGGGCTGTTAATCGATTCAATAAAATACGGAGTCACCTTCGTATGGTCGCAGGAAAGCGTTTCTGGAATAAAAATAGGACATTTTTACATGGTACGCAAAATGATTATTGTTTTTTCTTTACTTACAGTTAAAAATAGCGCCATCTCTACGTGAGGTATTTTAACAGAGAATACTGTTTGTTTTACAAATAGATGGCGCTAAGTCCTAGTTTTAGCACTAACGTTATTACTACAAAAGTTTAGTTTTTTATTCAGAATGTTTTAATAAAAGAAATAATGGTAACAACAATTTAACTTACGAAAAATGGTATCATGTGCGCATCCAGGCTGACTGGATCCGCCGTTGACATAAAAATCTGCATGCCCGTTGGGTCCCCACTGTCCGAGGATGCCAGCACCCGTGTGGAGGATATCGACAAATAAAGCATCTGTGTGGTCCAAGTCCCGAGATCTATTGTTTCCCATGTAAAAGAAAATCGTGGGATCCAAACCTGTATTATAATTTAAAGCATTGACTCTTAAAGTTTTTTTTTTTTCGCTATTTTTGAAAAATTACCGATTTCAATTGTGACTTACCAGTGATCCTTCCTAATTTCCGATCATTGAGGTGATTAGCCACCAATCCCAGTATGTGAGCTCCGACGCTATAACCGATTGTGTGTATTCTCTCCGGCGCTACTGCCTTCTTGGGATGATACTGCAGGTAATCTACCAGCTGTGCTATACACATGCTCGCAAACCGAGGAGCCCACTCTATCTAGAAAAAAACATTAATGAAATAACGTCCTGGACGTTTGTTACAACTGATTTCATTTTCTAAGTTAGGCGATAGTTAAAAGATGGCGTTGTATTATATTGGACTCTAAAGAAACACTAGCAACTACAAGACTTGTTCGTTATGATTATTGATCGATCTAGAATATAGCTACTGCAGGACTCTTGGACGAAATTTGAAACTAAACCTTAGCACAACTGTTGGGCGATTGTCGATGGTTTTGCAACCCATTCAACTGTTTAATTACAGAACTCGAAAGATTCTGTACGATAGAGGTAGTTGTTTTATAGGAACTGGTATAATTGTTACAACCTGACTGAGGCACGGTTCCTTGACTAGACTTCCGTAGTCGACTATGATAATATTATAGTGACCCCTTGCGAAGTACGCGTTCCTCATATCAGTACTAGGAGATAGGTTTCTTCCTCCGCCAAAGCCGTGTACGACGATCTTCGTCGGGTACTTTGGATTGAACTTTGAATTTGTTAAAGATTCATTGTCCAAAGTGTTAAGTAATTCCCCCTTTTCTTGTGTAGTCCTGAAAGAAAGAAATTCTTATTATTATTAGATATTTATATTTTAAGACTTCCCATATAACAAGGAGAACGTTAGTTATGAGTGTGGAAGGGTACACTGGTAGAGGTAGACCTAGAAAGAGATGGATGGATTGCGTGAAAGGTGACATGATCAAGAAAGGAGTGATGATTAAGATGACGTATGTATGATAGAGTTACGTGGAGGACAAAAATCTGTTGCGTCGACCTAACGGGAGTAGAATAAAGATGAAGATGATGATTTATATTTTAAGACTTTATACAAATATTAACAGAGCTTAGTTGGACCTTGACGCAATACTTTAAACTTAGTTTCTAACTCGTGAAATCAAGACCTTTCCCAAAAAGTGTTTTTTTTTTTAATTACCTAGTGTAAAGAAAAAACTGCATTTGTGGATGTGGACATCTAAAGGGGCCGGGGATACATGACTTGGTGTCGAACAAATCTCGCACGGATTGCGGTTTCTTCTCACGTTCGTCTTTCTCTTGCGTCTGCGAAACTGAAAACGTAAAATACTGGTTTAGTAAAAGGTTTTAAAATTAAGGTCATGTAGTGGAACATCGTGTGGGTAGATTTTCTTCATTAAAACATGGTTAATTCACAAAAATACAGTTTACATCTAGTATAGATTTTTTAACTACAAGCCAGTACTAGATTCTATCACTATACCAAAACAATGAAAACTGGGCATACATGTTTAAGCACGATAAGTATAGTAAAAGGATAAACTTATTCATGACCGAGTAAATAGAACAAAACAAGTAACAACTTTAAGGATATATAAAATACTTTTTAAGTGGAATATTTTAGCCTTGTATTATTTCATCAGTAAAATTTAACATACCACACTGTTATTACTGAAGCTATTATTAGTAAAGAGATCGTTAACTTAATGTAACACATTTCTGCCATGATTACATAATTACTTACCGGGCTATTTCATTACTTAATACAACTATAAATAGAGCAGTTAAAAGCAGCTAAAACACAACCAAATTAAGATTAACGAAGATTACCTAATTCATCGAAATTAAATTAATATTTTTGTCTATTTTAAAAAGGCAAATTTATATGTTTTATAATATTTTTGTTATTAAAATTCCAGGCAACATATGAAAACCCTATTTAACCTATGACCTATTTAACACTTAACGATGAAGTCTTGTACATTACAATATTAAGTTGTATCAAGTAATCACTTGTATAATTATGACGATGGCCTTCTTATAAACAGAGTGCAAGGCAGATACAAGTGACGTATGTAAGGACATTGAGGCAAGGCTTAAAGGAAAGAACTTTTAATTCATAATAAGTTAAATAAACAATTTATTCTATTAGTTTCCTAAGATGAGATAGAATAAGGTAATCGCACAACTGTTGTGCGATTGTTTCATAGCCAATTCAACTGTTTAGTTGCATGACTAGAAATCAAGTAGTGTGCGCACTTCCATATAAACTCATAGGAATCAAACGGAAACTAAACATGTGTCCGATTGTAAAGTAAAAGTTGTGCGGGCGATCTTCTATTATGTTTTTACCGTTGAATATCCTTAAAAACTTTTTGTACTACCCCAAAAATATAGTACACGTGATTTATGTAACTATGAATACCGCTGGTTGATGTTACGGTCATCAACGTGGTACATGTTTCACCATAAATGCATATATTTATCGCCACACTGCTTTCTTTTATTATCTCCCTAGATATATGAATTACAAAGATTTTTTTGACAAATTAATTATTCTGTCTTTTACTTTTATAGAAACAATTTACGTAGTTTGTTATCTAAACAATGCAGTATGGAAGTGAAAATAGTCTATCATTGTGGACAATGACGACAGCTCAATTTAGTATAATTTATTCGCTCGTCTTTACAAATGTTTAAGTATCGTTGCTATTGTCGAGAACAATATAACACTTTGTAGATTGCAAATCTTAAAAGTGTCAACTTGGAAGAAAAAACCGTATCATTATTATTAAAACATTTAGGACCTGTCTCACCAAATTATAAATTGTCTGATAACAATCCAACGTGTAAACTATGTTTTTTTTATATGAGAAAGGGACAAACGAGTGGCAGGAACACAGAGGTGGTCAACGACGCCAATGTGATGGTAATATCGGCTTTTGTTCTTTATCTGACAGGCGTCACTTTTAAGCTATCTGAGCCTCTATCAGCTAGTTGTGGGACAAGCCCTTAAATTTTTCAAAGTTTAAAATTCTATATCCAGCAAACATTGTCAACTTAGCTATAAAGTTGCCTTAAGTAATTACATTTCTTATTAACAAAAACACATCTGTTTTCTACGACAAAGGAATTAGATCGTTAACTAAAAACAAAACAGAACATCTTTAGAACAATGTCACAAGAAATGTAATACTTGCATAAGATTCTCACAGATCGATTCTCAAAGACCATTATAAAATCACCTATTACTAATACTGAATTGGTATTACCAAAAGGATCTTCGATAATTGGATAACATTTAAACTAGAGAAGTCACTTTCACTTATGACACATGTTTATGGCAAGTCTATTATCATTAAAACATGAACAGAATACTGCATTAATCCGATTTGCAGACTTTATTATGCTTGTATTATGTCATTCTATCTTGCAGTCTTCTATATCGTTCTAGAATTTATATTACGAAAAGAGGTTACACGCGTGGGCGCATAATGCATAAACCTATCAATAAAGTGCCATATTGTTGCAACCGACAGCATTTCTGTCGTATTAGGTGGATCCTATTGCAACACGGAGGTCAATAATTTCATCGTAGATAAACCTTGGTATCAAACTGTAATTTTGGAGGTTAAGTTGAATACTTCACTGGAATTTAAATAACTAATCTTACTATAAATATTATAAATGCGAAAGTTTAGATGGATGAATGGATGGATTGTTTAAGTTTGTAGTCTAAACGGCTAAAGGGATCTCGACGAAATTTGGCATAGAAGCTAGTAGCCTTATAATGCGCATATTACTTAATTCTATTCCAATTACAAGTAGGTTAGAAATGAAGTTTCTTATATTATATTTCTAACTTATAATGTCAGTTCCCGGACAGACATCCCTCCAGTATATTTTTATCCCTCCAATATATTTACACTGGAATAATAGTGATGCAAGACGGAATAAGAATTTTTTATAGTCAATTGATAAGCCGAGTTAACTTAACTATAACGTTAACTATAACGTCGGGAGTTTTTAATATTTACCACACACATCTGTAATTAATAGTAGAATGGAATATGCAAATAATAAGCAAATTGTCAAGGTCGTTATTAAGTATGTCATTACCGAATTCATGCATTATTAATTTTTACACAATTATTTCAATATTTATTTACATCAATTTGCGGTATAAAATTAACAAGGTTGCAATATTATTGAAAATAATTATACATTACACGTATTAGATCTATCTTAACGTCTTCGAATATCAAATTAACCTTATTTATTGTTTAGTGCAAATACAACCTTTTTGGATGACAAGAATTATAAATACAGCCAAAGAGGTTGCATATTGGCTGCCAAGACATCTATTATTAAAAAGTGTACAAGATGTGACAGAAGAAAAGAAAGAACGTAAAAAATGTAAGCGATAATAAATTGTATATTTTCTGTAAATATAAATAAAGCTGATTAATAACGATGGTACAAGTTTACATTTATTCATTAATATTGTTTAATAAGAATTTGTACAAAAACTGGCACTTTAACACAGTAAAAATTGTGCTTTCTTACTTTTGGATAATAAAGCTTCATACGTCTGGAAATGTATATTTATATGTTTGTGAATTGCTACTTTTAAAATTTGATTATATTATTAACGGGGTATATTCAGATCTTAAGTTACTCGGCTGTTCATGAAAATTATAGACAGAATAATTTTTAACATTGGTACTAGTCTACTCGTAGTTTCATGGTTTATCGAACTGTCGATATTTCTAATTATATTATCAAGGAAAAAGTTTTAACAGTAAAATATTTATCTTGCAAGTGTTAACATATTCATACGTAGATCAACAACCTTCAAATAAATTACACGATTTCTTTATATTTCACAACAACTTTCAAGGTAAACAATGAAATAGCAAATTCTGGTTTACTAAACATTGCTGTTTTTAAGAGTTATAAATTAAACTTTTTAATATTGAAGTAAGCTTTGAAAACACTCATAATTTTATAGTAACTTTTAATACAAATTGAAATAGTTTTAACTACCAAAAATTTATCATATTAATATTATAAATGCCAAAGTTTAGATGGATGGATGAATGGATGTTTGTTAGATTTTTTTGCCTAAACTGCTGAACGGTTTTAGATGAAATTTGTTGTAGATGTCCTCTAGATAGTTTGGAAGAACACATACGCTGCTCACATTTGTTTTTATTAATTCCACGTGGACGGAGTCGCGGGCGAAATTATTATTAAATATATTCTTCAATGCTAACTTTAAAGTATTAGAGAAAGCTATTAGGGAAGTAAATCAATTGCTATTGTGCATAGTTGTAATAAAACGTGAGAACCTAGCTTTTAACAATATTTCTGTCTATACCTTGATTAGTAATGAGTAGATCGGCAAAACTGCTAGTAATAGTTTCTCTTACCAAGTTTTTTTATGCTATTTTCATGGTTGTGGTCGCAACAGTAGTCAGATACGAACTTATTATTCTTTCTTAACGTACTTCTTTACTTAAATGAAATGCCTTAGCGAAAGGTTTCCTGCTTTGTAAATCAAAGTTGAACTTCCGTATACAACGATGGGAATATTTTTTTAAGCTACCCACTGTTTGTTTATAGATTGTTTCTGGTTAATTGTTTAATTTTGAAATAAGCTAAAATAGAATTGGATAAAAACAATGGTCAATAACATTAACCTTTTAGAAGAAAAATACATTTTACTTAAGATAAAAAACTTTTAACTCAAAACAGTATAGTTTTTGTGACTGTATCGAATTATACATTTAAAAGGTGCATTAACAAAAACTTTTCTGTTGACCTTCATCTTTGCACAAATTATTTATATTTATATGTGTAGTATACGTACATTGAAAGTTAGTTAAATCTATATTAAGGTTGAAAAAAAGAAACTTATTATACTAATATATTATATCATTCTCGTCATATCCATTTTAAAGTGCGATCTTCTTTCGTAGTTCGGCAATAATTAGGGCATTTTGCACTTTATACAAAACTTGCACTTTATAAAACACACAACAAATTAGATATAGTACTAAAATATTTTGTATATTTAAGGCTAACTTTCGTTATAATAAGGTTTAAGTTATATCTTTGTTTGTCTTACATCTCGGATGCTAAGTTTCCACCGCAACTTATGTTACTGTAGTAAGCTGTATTACAAGAAACAATAGACAATTTTAAAAACCTATGACTTAGTAACTTCCTCATTCCGGGGAATAATAGGGTACTTCAGTCGATTTTAACTAAAATATGTCATACTAGCTTTTGCACGAAACTCCGTCCGCGCGGAATTAAAATAAATAAAAGTAAGTAACCTATGTGTTCTTCCAGTTTAGGTATGCTCTATATCTATCCCAAATTTTATCCAGATCCGTTAGGCCGTTTAGGCTATAAATTATAATTTTCATTATTAGTAAGATGTACAACTATATATGTGTATATATGTGTATGATATATGTGTATGATGTAACTATATATATATTCACACTTAACAACTTAATTTTAATAAGGTAAGGAGTATATGAGCAGTCGAACTTTTAATGAAAGAAATCGACCCTTGGATATCAGAAACAAAATCGCGGAACACAGATGCGTTGCCTTTTTTAATTTTCTTAAAATGTCTTAAACTAACAATTATCGTGTTGCATCAAATTTGTGTACAATATCCGCGAGTGATAGTATTAAGTAAGTCGAAAGAGCGAGGCTCTGTTATGCAACACGAATGTCGGCCGAACGATTAACGTAACGTTCGGAAGTAGTGCGCACGATTGTGCGCATGCCTGCTATGACTCGGTACAATATTCGTGGAATTTTTGAATGAATTAAACGGTTATGTGTGTACAGTTCTTAATTGGTTTTATTGTGATTGTTTAAATTATCGAGTTAAAGCAAACGGAAAAGCTCTCGCAATTAAGTATATTGCTAATTTTTATATTGTAATTTTTTTGAATTTATTGTATAACAAAAATAAAACCCTCATAAAAGTATGTTTGCTGAGCCCGCTCAGTATTTCGAATCTTGATTGCTAAACTAATAGTCCAATACAAACTAAACCTTTTTATTTTAGTAAATACTTAGTATTTATTATTAAACCTGTGTTTAAAATGTTATTAACATTTTTAGTTTCGTTTAGGTTTGTGTACATTATCAGTATTTTAAATAACAAATTTTTATATAAATATTTGTAACCCTTACCAGAAAACTGAACCGCTGTAATCCCCAATAAAAATAGCCATTTAACATTTGTCACCATTTTTCTTATTAACACACTTCAAAAAATAAATTTAAAATTATTAATGTCTATAAATCTATAGTTATGACTAAAAATTATCAAATAAATACATCACTTAATTTAAAACCGCGTCTTATCGATAGTTCCGAACATCCCTTCACGACGTGTGGCGCGTGCGTTAACTTTGAAGGAACTAAAAGCGAAAGTGGCCGGCTCGTATTGACCCTCGCCTTACGTAGGGTCCCCTCTTGCGAACGTCTTGGATTCCGATGTTACAAACGCATTAATGACTTCATTAATATTACTGTGATTAGTGTATGATATTGTGACGTCACTTTTGGATACTCTTAGGCAGCGAGAATCATTCCTGTAATTCCGGAAACTTGGCCATACAAAAATTAACTCTATAAAAAAATTCAGATACGTATATTTTTTTCATTCGTTTTATTGGTAATTATATTGTTATTTATCTCTTTTCAATTAAAAATTATAATAAACAATACGTTTTTCCACTTTAAAGATGACGTGGGGGCCTTCAAGAAAAGAGTGAATGCGTATTTATTAGGGTAGCGCGTACCATCTTTCGACCAAATCTTCACTCTCAGTCGGTGGGATCGTAGTCAAGCGCTAGCTTAAAAAACTTAAAAAAAAATAGCTCAAGACAAAGTTTAATTAAGGACTAAGCCATCACTGGGTTGTAACTATTCAAAAGTAGTAAACCAGCGTCAAAATTCCTTAGTAAATATTCGAATAGCAATTAGTGGTACGGTCACATTCCATTTTATAACGAAATTGTTCCCAATTTACATAAATTAATCAAAATTGACATAAACAGATTTTTTAGTAATTCATGTACCGTACACTGGGAAATACCCAACAGTCTGTTTAAGATAATACTTAAAATTCGAAAGTATCTAGAAGGAAAACAGGTATCATTACTTAGCCAGATTTTACGTAACCTCAGTGCGGTCACTACCTAAGGCAAACGTAAATTTAATACTTTATGCATTTCATATCCTCGTACATTTTTCTGATTTTTTGTAGAGACTTTTATCAGCTATGTTTCCACTAAGTGACTTTTGCCTTACCCAAATTAGCCCTAACCAGGCCTTAAAAATGTCTATTTTTTTTAAATAAACTTATACAAATATATAAATAGCGAAAATGGTAGAATTGTCTGAAATAAACTCAACAATGAAAGTACTCAGCCCGGACGAAAAATGGCTTAGGTAAGCGAAGTTTGAATCACAAAAAATGGATTTAAAAACGCAATAAGATAGAGATGTTTCATGCAATTGAGTTGGTAATTATGCAAGTGTCTCATGTTGTGTAAATTATAGGATACTAGCTGTTGCCCGCGACTACGTCCGCGTTGTATTAGAAAACATACGATTTATATTAATAACAAAAAGCTACGTATCCCTCTGGATCCGGATATTTTTCGGGGATGAACCTTATCCCATGTGCACTCCAGACTTTGTTTTATATCTCGACCAAATTGCATTAAGTTATGTTAACCCGTTGCAGAATGATCGAGTAAACATTAAAAAACTAAATTAATGAATCCCACGGGAACCGTAACTACTCCCTGGATAAAAAGTAGCTTATGTGTTCTTCCAGACTATGCTCTAAACCTGTGCCAAATTTTATGGAGATCCGTTCATCCGTTTAGGCTACAAAAGCTAACAAGCATCCGTCCATCCATCGTAACTTTCGCATTTACAATATTTATATGATGTTGATACATGATTGTAACACATTACTAGGTTTAAAAATTGCTTGACATTTGCTTACTTCATAAGTTATTATACGTTTGAAGTTGTTATTGTCCTTTATTTATCGATATTTTAATTGCTATTATTTAAGATAATAAAACAAATGATTATAATATTTACACACAGAAGATCAGTTGAAAAAAGCCTTGAATTATTACGTAACTTTTAATGAAAACGGCACATGCATTACAAAACATCGAAGGATAGCATTAAGTTTTGCAACAACGCCAATCGTCAACAACCTCTGGTTGCCCAACTCGGATGTCCGAAGATACGGCGTCTTGTAAATTAGTGGCTTGCTGTCAAACGCATGTTTTAAGTACTGAAGTTTGTATTTTACAATGATTGTATAAGTTCTGTAATTGTATAAGTTTTCTTGTGTCCATTTTTTGTACTGTAAAATCTCTTATTCCGTGCAATTTGGGGTCGGCACAATATGCTTTTGTTATCCAAATCCATAATTTCAGTTACATTATTAAATACACTGCGTAAATAAAGATATATACTCGTAAGAAAAATAAACATAAACGGATTTCCTTAACCGCCAATGTTTTTCTATTACTGTATTGCGTTAAGTTATTAACTTAACATTGTATTGAGCTTGGCCTACTTTAGAGTTATTACCAATAATTGTTAACGAACAGCTCGTATATAAAACTGTTGTAATATTACTTTAATTAAAATATTTGAAAATGAAACGTTATTAGCATACCATAAGAATTTAAATTAAAAAATATGATGAATGACTTAAACAAATTCTATTTTAACTGATTTAATTTGGTCTTAAGCACGATAATAATTGTGCCCGTCACTAAACATTGGAAATAAGAACGGATGCACAACTTTGACCAAACAACTGTGGTGCGATTGTCAATTGTTTTGCAGTCAATACAACTGTTTAGTTGCAGAACTAAAAATGGAATAAAGAACACGTGTATAAAGATGCAAACAAAGCGAGGCTAAACAGTTGTGTACAAACGATATCATTTTTTATAATAATACGTAAGTTGTGATGTAAATATAACTAGTTATATTTCATGTCAGCGCATACGGAAATTACAAGGTCTACTAGTTCAATATATCAAAATGCGGAAGGGGGTTTAGTATCTAAAATTATCCTAATTATATTTATTAACCACTGGCTTAAAGTATAAAATCTAAATTTAATAAAATGCAATTAGAAAAAAAACGAGTGTTAGAAGTCGTACTTGAAAACGATGTTTGTTATCGTTTGATTAAAATTTACATATTAGGAAACAGCGTTTATAAGTAATTAGACAAACTGGAAATAAAATGTTCCCACTCTGTAGAATTGAAAGAACATATCCAGCGTTTTTTTGGCCCTATTTTTTTACAATTACAAACCTTAGACAGACATCTAAAATTATGCACGTGTTGGGAAAAAAATATAATGTCAAGGCAAAAAGAACGTACAGTAACTAAACCCGTAAATAATAAAAAAAAAAGTTGATTGATTTCCTTATTCCTATGACAAGGAAGGTTTTGTCTGATCTAAAAGCGCCTGTATTTATTATCATAGCAATAATTAAAACTTAAATATTAAAGAATTAGTGCTGTAAAGGCGCTCTACCACATATGGGAAACGACCCCTATGGGTTGGTACATGTGTTTTCTTTGTACTTTTCTGTGATTTAAAATGTTTAACTATTGTTGGTTATTACCAGTAATTCATACCGATCTTAGCATCCATAAAAATACTCTTAACATTAATTGTATAATAATTTAATATAACCAATACTTACGAAATATTTTTATGTATTAACAGATATACGTAAATAGCAATTTTGCATAAAATCACACGTTTTATTAGACATAGAAGTTTTGCTCCTTACTTCGTTTGGCATTTTTCACGATATGAAAAATAAAAATAAAATCAAAACAGAGATTTATTCAAAGATGTGTTGAAATACTTATCAACAATAGTAAAAAAACATACATAAAAAAGGTATGTTTACTCCATACTATAACATTTCCCTTGTACATAAGTATATCTACATATTTTTATCATGTCTAACAGACAGACGAAAGCGTCAGTTATATAATTCATATTGTTCGACCTTTGCATAGTGTTAAATTATAAGATGTTGGTAAGATATATTGCTTCATCATTTAACGCTTGCGTAGTTATGCAGACAATAGAATACAAGACAAAGGCAAGTGTGACATTTGACAAGATTTTTTATTTAAAATGATGTCTATAGGCAAAAAAATAGTGTTGAACAGATATATCTTAAAGCAATCTTGTATAAAGTTATTTTTATGTTTTATACTCAAAGTTAACACCAGCACTGCAAAAGTTAGACCTTTAAACACGGTTTGTTGCTTTAAAATTTGAAAATTGAAGATAATTCTATGCAATACTATGGAATTTGCAATTTTTCATACAATATGTACTATTGCCCTCATCAATTAGTGCTGTATATGTCTTGAAGTCATTTTATACTAGCTTTCGCCTGCGACTCCGTCTATGTGGAATGGAAAAAAAAACAAAAGTGAGTAGTCTACATGTTCAGACTATCCTCTACATCTATATCAAATTTCATTGATATCCGTTAAACCGTTTATGCTACAAACTCTAACAAACATCCATCCTTCCATCCAAACTTTCGCATTTGTAACATTAGTAAGATTTTGTAAATAATATGTTAAGTGCCAATGTTAAAATTTTTATTAAATCCAATTTTCGTAGTCGCCTTCGTAACTCCTATTGCTTTTGTTCGGTCCCCGTGCATATGGAGATTCAGAGTTGGTGTTGAAGAAATATACACCAGATACGCTGAAATTAAATTAATGAATAAGTTAATACTAGATACCACGATAACTTAATATTTTCTATTTCATAACTGACCTCGTTAAGGCCGAGTTTATTTCATATCCAGCCCTATACTCTTATCTATGTCATTGGGTTATTATGAACAGAGAAATATGCAGAGAAGTATTTTTTCTTATACACAATTTTATACTGCAATATGTTTGTGTCTAGAATTTTGTAATAAATTAACATTGAATTATAATTTTCGAATTCAAAATCTGTTTATTTTTTATTCAGACAATTACCCTGAAACTATCGCACAACTGTTCAGTCTCGTTTCATTCCTATGAGCTTGGATGCACATACTACTCTATTTTTAGTCGTGAAACAATCGACAATCGCACAGTTGTGCGAGAGTTTAGTCGAAGAAGTTAGTTAGGAAGAGAAGTTTAGTAATTAAAAATAGTTGTCAGTAATTATAATTTAAAAATACTAACTTTGGTGGCATGTGCTCGCCATATAACACATCTTCGTCCGAACTAACAAGCTCGCACCATCCGATCATGTAAGCTATCCACGAGTAACATTTCTTTCCGTAGAACCCAACCTTGCTAATAATGGACTCAGCAAAGTAAACTGCAGCTCGTTCATGTTCGCATCCCGATACCGCTAAAAGTACATAAATTATCACTTATTTCAATACTTATATTGGTTAAATGGTTAAAAAGATTACTAAATTCCCCAAGTGTAGATTTGTATGGGAAATTTAATAGGTAAATTTTACACCGCATAAATTAGATTTCCTAGTTATTATTAATTTAAGCAAAACGATTTCATTCGTTCTCATTTAGAAACAGAAATTGTAAACAACGTGTAAGAAAGATAACCAATTAATTTGAATTTTCATGTACTAATACGAGTTTATTTTACGTACGAAATCTATACTTCTATACTATGGTAATAAAGCGTTAACACACACTTCTTTGTTGCCTAAGATGTCAGCAATTAAAGCATATTTTTTAATATTTTTTTTTAATAAAAAACCCTACTCTTATGTCACGCTTTAGGCTATATATTTTCACGCCATTAAATTTAGGGGGTAAATATTTTGGACAAAAGCTTAATGTGGGAAAGAAACCATAAGTTGCTGCCAACATCAAGGAAGCAAGATTACCAAGGTTTGTCACGTCATGTCATTTTGACATTTGCTATCAATATATTAATAAAATTTTCATAATCTCATGCGGATGAAGCCGCACGGGAACAGCTAGTATGATATAAAAACACTTAAATGCTCACTATGATTTTCATCAGCTTTACAGCCAGGTTGCTTTGTACCGCCATTAGCAAAGAAGTCAGCATGCCCACTGATTTCCAATTTCCCCTTCATCAATGCGTTTGTATGAAGAACATCAACCGACTTTGCATCACTGGGATCGATCTTTTTTGACACGTCAGCTGTCGCAAATAACGGCAACGCGGGATCTAATCCTGTTTAAATGTAACTTTTATAACGATAAATTTGTCAAACGAAAATTAAAGACGGCTCAACTCACGTTATATCCTCCGGTGACGGCACCGACTTGTTTCAGACCCCCGAACCCCGACACCGGAGGATAAAAAGTGAGTTGTGCTGTCTTCTACTTTTGTTTAAGATAAGGTCTCACGACAGTTTTAACAATTTAAGATAAATATGACGGCATTATTTAGTGAATTTAATAAATGTAAAAATTTTTATTGACAAATGCCAACGAAATATGATAAGAAATTAGTCTGAACAATCTTTTACAAAATCACCCTGCTGTTTCTCCAGTTGACAGTCAGCATAGTATGTCATAATTTTATACTAAGAGCGTGCTCTTTAGTCTCACTGTGATTCATGTGAGCATTTTAGTTGTGCAACTAAATAATTGAATTGACTGCGAAATAAATGACAATCGCACAACGGTTGTGCGATAGTTGTCAAAGGTGTGCACCTGCTCTAAATCTCTTTGACTTACACCCACGACTTATACATAAAGCATTAGAATAAGTTACTACATAACTAAAAAAACATACCACTTATCCGTTCCAATTTTCCCGATTTAATATATCTACCAATGAATCCTGCAACGTGTGCACCTAAACTAAATCCGATAACGTGAATCTTGGACAGCTCTATACTATGGTTGGAGACCATCTCATCAATGAGTTGCGCTGCGCACATGCCAACAAGCTCGGTGTTAGCTGCAGCTTGCACGTAACACGGCTCTAATGCCACCGGGTGGTAGTCTACTGTAATTACATTGTAATCACAGCATTCTAGATACGCTGTAAATACACAAAATGTTGAAAATTAAATACATAAAAATTTATTCTGTACACAATATGATATAGGAAATTATTTCTTTTAGTTGTAGATTATATAAAAAATCAAAGATGTTGAGGAACGAAATAAATTTCTACTTCTCGAATATATAAGTGCATATTGTAAAATACTTCATTTGTTTCACTTGCCTCTACTTCTCAAATTCTAATCTACTTATAGTAGGGGAGCCAAAGTGGGGATTTCGGGATTTACTAAAGCGCGGCAGATTAATATATAGGGGGATACCTTGTGCCCGGTTAAGTACCTCCACAAAACATGAGGACCATATATAAGGCCATATATAACTAAATATGGGCAAATCATATTTGTATCATCTAGTCTGGGTAAGCAATCCCTTCAGCACCCATATTTAAGACGTTATTGACAAACAATAATATAGACAAGGATAGTTAAACAAACATTTCTGTTTAAATACTGTATATGTTAAATAATGTTGATTTGAACTCCGTACCTGCATGAAAAAGAGTTACAAAGCACGTATGCGAGTACATCTTGTACAAACATTACATAATGATAAAAATAATGTCCGGAAGGAACTGCGTTTGTATCTTAAATACATTTCAATGATAATACACAAGATAATACATCCTCTTATAATTTCCTTATCTTTTATTCAAAAATAAATATATCGCCGTAACAAAAGACAACGATAATACTAAAATTATTTTACAATTGTGTTCGGTTATGGTTAATCTTTCAATTTATTTTAAAGATGCACTCTGGTATATTATCAGAATATTGCAGGATTTCAAAAGGTTCTTATGACTAAAAAGTAATCCTTTATTTATATATCAAACACACATTAGATAGAAGTGTGTGTGGGACCCGCGTAATACCAACCAGTGCGTTTCGTGTTGAGAAATTTAGATACGCACACGCATTTATTTAGTGTTTTACTTCTATTGCGTGTAACTTATCTCATAGGCGCCACTTTCTCACCACCTAATGTTCAACCAATTTGAACTACGGGCCAAAATTAGTTTTTTATGTAAATATTAGTACGGCCATGCGGGCCCCAAATAGTACACTTCTATTTCCATACCTGGCCTAATTTGTGGGTTAGGTGCGAAATCCTTGTGTCCAGTGTATCCGTGGATAATAATTTTGATTTTTTCATTTGGAACCCACGGCGCTTTGTCAATAGATGTAGGGTCAGCAAACCTTAATTGGTGTGGATCGTCTTTATTTGCCCTAGAAACAAAAGAACACTGACTCTCGAATATCGGTATTTTGCGATCCCTGCGGTTACGTAGTCTTAGTGATTTTTTTTATAATATAACTCTTTTAACTTAAATAAACTAAGTAATGGTTGGTTTAACCTGGTAAATAAGAACCTATAAAAACCGACTTCCAAACAAAATACACTAAAAACAAAACAAAATATTCTCAAAAAAACAGTACACTAAAAAGTAACGAAATAATTACTTGAAAATAGTAAACCTACCTTATTGTAACTGTTATGTCTATATTGTACAATTATTATTACTTTGATGTCGGTGTCAGCCAAGGTATGCAGTGATATTTCTACGTAAGGGTTTCCACATTTTTACCATAACAATTGACAATTGAAAGTATAGTAACAATTAAGTAATGAATCTACATTGACTGACACCGACTTCAAAGTAATAATAATTGTACAATATAGACATTTAATATTCAGGCCGAATACTGGAACGCATGTCAAACACTTCGCTTAGTAATGCTGCTTTAAACTCGCAGACGTGAAAATTTTTAAAGAAACTTTTGGTCTTATTAACATGCTGCTATTAGTTACGTATTCAAATGCTGTTTCAATATTCAGCCGTTAATACTAATAATGTTTACAGGAAAAACATTTACCTTGTGTATAACCAGAACGTTATATTTTCGTTTGGACAATCTAAAGGAGGTGTAACGCAGTTTTCCGTAGTTAAGGAATTGCAACAACCTGAAAATTCAAAGCAACAGTTTAATTAAATGTTAAGTTAAAATTTTCCTTTTTAATTCATTTTCGTCAGTTGAAATCAAGAGAACCTTAATAAGCTCTACGGTAGTCGATGAGAGAAACGTAACGTTTTTCGCAGTTATGTTAATATGTTTCTCTGTATGTTATACTCGTACTAGCTGTTCCCGTGCGACTTCTTTCTTATGAAATTATAAAAACTTTATTTTATTGTTTCAAATTCTCAATTCCAAATATCAAAATTGCCGTCACCTTAAAAATCTTGCTTCCTTAATGTTGGCAGCTTGTAGTTTATGGACCCTTTTCCAAATAAAGGTTTGTTAAAGCGTGTCGTAAATGTAGTGTTTTTTTATTAAAGAATTATTCAAATATATGCTGCGATTGCTGACATTCTACGCCACAAATTATTGTCAGTTACGCTTTATTACATTAGTATAGAAGTATAGATAACAAAACGTTTACTGCAATTTTTCTAGTTTTCATTTTTATATTGATATGGGCGATGTTAGCGGATTATTAGGAGAACAGGTATTTGCGATATTGGCGTCGACTTACACTCGTAGTCGATACGAACTTAGTTTTTTATTATTTATAACTGATCGAATAATTGACTTGTAAATTAAATAGACTTGCACATGTTTCTGTTTATTGTGTTTTTTACAACATTTTAATTTATTAACAATTATGACGAAAAATATGCAAACTACTACATATTATCAATACATATTCTAATTAAAATATCACCTCAATTACATATGTTATTTTTATAACAAATTGTAGTTTATCGTATTATGCTATATTAGTGTTACTAATATGAATTAATTATTAATAAACAGACAGGACTAATGAATATCCTTTATTATGGTATTTTAATTGTCCGTTACATTCTTGTAATTGACCAAAAACATAACTCCTTCGATCTACGATACTCTGTCCTATGTGGCGTGGCGATATCTTGACGAAAAGTTAAGAAAGAAAATAATTACGTAATGATATTACATTAAAGTACTTCTGTACATATTTGTTATAAAATCGGATAGAAAAAAGATCTTTATAACATTGGATACAGAAGTAAATGTTATTTATAGTAGATATCAACATTATTGTAAAATTGATTTAACGGATATGACGATAGCGATTTACGTTTTGAAAACTGTTCAATCTAATGAATTAAAAAGAAAATTATACTTAACCCCATTATTTTCATTTGAATGCAATTGGGAATCAAATGTATTTCAATATTAAACTTGGCAATATTTTTTTATTTATCTTTTAATGTGAATATGATATTTTGTATGCCTCAAGAAACCAGCGCGGAATTAACATTATGGCGGTTGCATTTAAAATTGTTAAAAATACTCTTGTTTTGTAAGAATCAACAAATTACAAGCTGTTCCAACATGATTATAGTAAAGACAGAGTTTAAAAAATGTATTCAAAGTTTCGCTTCTCATTTTGTTATACTATTATTTGATTAAAATGTTTTGTTAAAAATGTAATACAAATCAATACTTACGCAAACAAAAATAAATATGCACGAAAAACAGTAGACCATTTGAGAGAGATTTAAATATTTGCATTTTGTGTTATAAAAAAATAGATATACAAAAGGGCGATGAGTTTGTAATTCACAGGTTCGTTTTACTTAAGGGTATTGTTTAGACTGCGTTAGCAGTTTACTTGGGTTATCAAGAGCACTGAGCCGCAGTAGTTTTGTGTACAACGATCGGTACTCAACGCCATGATATTTATGTAACATTGACTTAATTTCATTTCCTGCATACCTTGGACAGCTTAGACGTAATTTGATAACACACGATGAGCTGTGACCTGGAGGAATAGTCGACCTTTCTGTTACGATTTTTCTGGAAATGTTATATTTTCAGTGCCAGAAGGCATATGCAATTCTAATGATCACTTTTATGATGATGATATTTTTTCTGTCATTCCTGTTGCTTTATTCCTTTTCAGTAACCTTGTTGCCTTTATACGACTTCTTTTTTAATTCTTCATGCATTATTTTTTTTTTACTTATTTTATTATATGTTTAATCTTTTCTCATGTAACTTGCATAAAGGTTTTGATAAAATCTTTGTTAAATAAGGCGTGACTTCAAAAGAACTAGCACAAACGTTTACCACAAGTGTAGTATAGTTTTAGCATAATATTTTATGATTTGTAAGGATAAAGGTGGTAAACAGATGCTCAGGTTAATCAAATTTATATATAACAGTAATCTGATGATCTGAACTGATATTTCCCATATCTGATATTTTATATTGAGTTTACATTCATAATTCAACATACGAGGATAAGATGTAACAAATTACCTTGTATTAAAACCCTTACCCTTTTATCAGAATATTATACCAGGTGAAGGTTTGGTTAAAATTTAACGAAAAAAAAGTCGCCTTCACACTATGGTATCTTTGTTCCAAATTATTATGCAAATATTAAAAAATAGAAGTGCGTTTCTGCATTGTCTTATCAATGCTATTATCTGTTAAAGAGTTTTTACATTTTTTTGATAATTGCTGCTTCGTAGATAATGAATAGCCATTACTACAAACATCCATGACCTTGACAGAAATTACTTCGTACTAATTTATTAATAGTTAGACCTTCTTCAGTCTGGAGGTTTTTTACTTTAGATATTGGATCTTAATTGCTTTAACTCTGCTGATCTCTTTTTTAATATTTAAACTGCTTTTTCATGTTTTCTATTCTTGCTTTGATACCTAGATCATCCTTATTTACTCTTACAGTATTTTCCACTAATTATCTTGTATCTCTTATATAACATTCTTTTTATTTTAAAAGATAAACTAATATAATAGAGATGTTATTATGGACTATCAGTATCGGAAAGATATGTGGAAAGGAAAAGTCATTTATTCATTTAATTAATTTAATATTCACATATTGTAAAATCAGTCAGTTCTTTTGAACAGAATACACATTTGGCACTTTGTTCACTAATTAATATGGCTTATTACAATTATTATTTATACAGTAAGAACATTTAAGTGGTAAGTTATATTACAATTTCAGAATATTTAGGAAAATAAACATGAATTAAAAAAATACGTGGAGTTTCTGTTTCTGAAACAATGTTAATGGGTACACAAGTACGTACATGCTCGATAAACTTGTTCAATCTCGTGCAAGTACTTTGATCATTTGGCTTAAGACTTCCATGGTAAATACGGTATACTCGAAATATGTACTTATATGTGTGCCCACTATTCTGTTATATCGAAGGCAATCAAAAGAATTACATTATGTCTTTGTAGATGTGTTTCGACAATGGAAACCCTGATTTAGAGTTTTACAGTATTTTAAAGAATTGCAACCCTTTTGTATCAGATTATTTAAATTTAGTTAGGGATAGTAAAATTAGATTTATGACAAAATTTTATACAAAAGTTAAGTCAACTTTATTTGGGTTCACGTTTACGTTTTTTGTCCTACTATTTATTACATTTTTGTACTTGAAGTTGATAGAAACATTTATGGATTTTTTTAATGCGTAATGAAAATTGAGAGTACTTGTACTTACTAAATACTTAATCAACACTATCTACAAATGAATATAAAATATATTTACAATACTAATCTAGGTCGAACTAAAACTATATCCCAGTTATGTAAAATAGCAAAATATGGCAAGAAAATTGAATCTACTAAGACCTTGATACAAGATCTTAACAAAAATTTACATCAGTATTATGAAAACATATTTACAATTATATTTAACATTAATTTAGACATATTCTTCCGAAGGTTTTGGAGTACCATTCGGCAGTCTTAACGAGGAAGACATTCGACCATTTACGGCGTCTGGTAATTCGGCTATATCTTTAAAAACTCCTATCATACTTTCAAAATTAGGACCCCAATTTAAAAAGTAGTCCCATCCTAAAGTTGCTGGTGCCGGAGATCCATTTGCTTGTCTATACAACGCGGCACCTACGTGTGGATTCAGATCATCGTCAGAAGCAACTAACGTACTTAGAGAGCCTCGAAAGGACGAATCAAAGCTCTCGTAAGGAGGAGGTAAAATGGGTTTCTTATTGTTATTTCCACTATTAACATTCTGTCTTCTTACATCTTCAGGTTTATCGGCGCTTATACTATTATTATCATATTCTATTTCCGAACATGTAAAACTATCATTCCCACTTTCATCATCAGATCCAGTGGAACTTCTGTTGTCGACTGGCGGTGAGTGATGCCTGTGCGACATGTGATGACTTACTCCGCCCCCTCTTGGGGCCTCACTGGAACTCGATACCGCATCTAATGTCGAAACTAGACTAGAGGTTCGTTGTCGGGCATTCATTCTTTCAATTTCCTCTGCGGTTAATCCCACTGCTCCAGACCCGACTGAAACTACTTGAGGAACTTGTGGCGCAGCGCCTGGTGTTTTTCTGCCAGCAGAAGAACTTTGTCCACTTAATTGAGACATAACTGGACTATTGAGACTGCGTTCACTATTACTATGTAAGGCATCTTTTCCTACGCCTCCCGAACTTGAAGTCGTGGCTAGTAAAGCACTCTGTAAAGGTTTTCCAGAAATATCATGTAACGTTAGGATTCTTGGTTGTTGACTTAGCTCACTACTAGGTGACAATCGAGCTAGTGGAGTGGTTTGATGTTGCCTCGGTTGTGGAGGTGGCTGAGATGCTTGTGGTAAAACTCTGGGTGGGTATCCACTCGGATGATGTGGGGAATGTCTATGTTGTGGTGTTTGATGCTTGTGATGGTAACCTGCTATGGGCGGTGGTGTTGCTTTATATTTGCGAACACCAGGGGCTTCTCGAAATCCTTTGTAGTGATAAACAATGTCGATGTCTGATGGTGCTATTGAACTTGCATTTTCAAGGTCGTAGTGCTCGGGTATTTCTGAATTAAGATCCATACCACTAGGATGGTCGTGAGTGTGATGAGAAGTGTTTGTGGAAGGAGGTGGAGGAGGGTGGTGATCTTCTCTTAGAGCTGGACTTTTTCCAACCACCTCTCTTTCGATAATATCAGGTCGTTGAGGTCTCGGTGGATCAATGTTCATTATTTCACGATCTTTGTATTTCTTCGATAGTAATTCAGGACCAACAATGTGACCCACGTTTCTCATAATATCTGCATTATCAGACATGTAACTATTCAAACTTGTTTCATTATTATGCATATTTCGATTCATTATACTGTCGTTAGTCCCAGCAATCAAATTAGGCGCATTCAACATAGCTGGACCACCATTTTGTTTAGTATGCACTATGTTAGTTTTGCTTCCTGAAGTGTTGCCCTTTTCTTTTTTCTGCTTTCGTAGTCGATATACAATAAATGATATCGAGATTGCTACTATTAATATAATGAAAAATACTATGACCAGAGTAATGCCAATATTCAATGGATTTGGATTTTGAGTTATGCCAGCACCGAAAGTACTATGACATCCAGGTATTATTTTTCCTTTACGAATAACATCTTTGAAAATACTTCCGTTGCCGTTAAAGGGTTGAAGTTCGTTGTTTATACTAAAATTTGCCAAGCACCCTTCAAATTTATTACTGTTTGATACCCATTCTGCTTTGACTCCACCTAAAGAAATTACTGTTAAATAGGGATCTAAGAAATCGTGTACTCCAGCTGCGTCGAGCTCTTCACCCACGTTTTTATCATCAACAATTATACGAATACTTCTTCCGTGGGAATATATTGTAATATTATGCCAATTACCGTCGGAAACATCTTGTTGGTCAACTTGAGTCATGTTGACTAGCGCGTTTTGTTTTGAAGTGTAGCTGATTTTTCCTGCATTCAATTCAATTATAGTATAATACTTCTCAGTTGCTGCATAAAATAGTACACCTTCTTTTCTATTAGTCTTGAAAAAGAATGTTAATACTTTCGCCGGGTTATTTACTTTTATTATGGCTTTCCCAATGTTTTTTCCACTCTTTCTTTCCCAGTTTGTACTTCCACCATAAAATGATTCTAGCAATTGCATTCTTCGATGTTTTTCTGATATGATGTAGGTAATATAAGCATTTTCACTCACGGAGATAGGCATTAGGGCAGAGTTACAATTAGGTGAAATTATGTCTTTTTCACATTTGCAATTATTTGTCTTCCACTTATCCAAGCATTGTCCTGAATCACAAACATCCTTTTTATAACAGGTTCCTTTTTCTGTACGATCACAATTTGCTTCGACACCGCGTGCTTTGAGTGGATTTGTTAAATTTAGAAAACGTCCATTGATGGAAATGCTATGCATGCAACCGACAAAATCATCAGAATGAATTTGTCCAGGACGTTCCAAGACGGGGTCTGCTTTATGTAATCCGCCTATGAGTAGGGGCTCGTTGTTGAAATTTAATGTTCTGTAAAAGAAAGAAGAAAAAAAAACATTAACATACACAGAATTCTTTTACGCTGAATGATTAGGTATAAATATTTTAATAACATTTCGACGCAATAAAGATTCATGAATTATTTGAAAAAGATTTGTAATAAAATAGTATAATAAAAATTAAAGAACAAATAAAGTCAACATACCCTGCCTGTCCAGTGTCGTCGTCGTAACATGAACTATCGCCGGGTTCGCATTCCATACAAATATCCCCGTGGTCAGTACAGGAGGTCACACTCAGAGATATCACACGGCCATTTCTTGTAGCAGTTA